AAAGTTGCCTTTTATTTTTCATCAATACAACAAACTAATATTGTCAACTGTAAAATTACCCTAGCAAATGGTCTGGCATGTACATATTTAATGTTAAATTAGTTCAAAGCTCCAAATTGCACCCAGTGCCTAACTATAAGGTCAGGACACACTAGGCAACAAGTCATATGAAGCAAAATGTTGCTGTGTCCTTTCCCCCTATCGTATCACAGAGTGGTTGATTGCAGGGACATTTCACAAAGACTTGTTGTCTAGCATGTCACGACGTATGTGATCTGTACAGTCAACATTGCGAAGTTTTCAAGATCAATACAAGAAGAGAAATCAACATAACTTGAACAAGAGACACTAAGCCTCAAATACATTAAACGCAATTTCAGGTGAATAATTTTCACAATTTTAGGTGAATTATTCTGACACAGTGGTGGATCCAGGGGAGGGGCCCTGGGGGGAACCAGCCTCCCCCCTTAGTTTTAGACCAAACTGAGGCCCAAAGGGGCAAAAAAAAACTTTTCTTGAGAGCCCCCATCTGAAGGTCTAGATCTGCCAGTGTGACACACTTGACATTAAACAATCATCTCAGAAATGACAGATAAACCACACTAACAACAAATCCACACAATACATTGTGTGAAGGCTTATTTATGGTCTAACTTAGACACGAGAGCCATAATCAACTGAGTTTGCTGCTGCTGTTGTTGGAGAAGCATAGCTTGCATGTTATGCATTTGCTGCTGCTGTTGCTGTTGTTGTTGCCCCATCAATTCCAGAAAATCCTGGTGTCGTTTGCTCTCAGCCTCTTGTTGTTTTACTTTCATATTGACCTCGTCTTTACGAGCAGCAACCATTGCCTCAGTTCTTTCTCTTAAGAACACTACTGCATCTCCTCCAGGTGCCCTCTTCTTCTTAGCTTTGGTCTGAAGGTTGCTGTCCTGCCCTTTTCGTTTCTGAGTTTCCCCCAGTCTCTCCAATGACTTTGTGCGAATATCTTCAGCCTGTTGTCGTTCTTCTTTCCTCTTTAGGTTTTGATCTTGATTTTCCTTGTGCTGTTTATCCGATTCATCTTCCCTCTCGATCAAATCTTCCAGATCAACTTCCACCTCTGACATATCAGTTTCAATTCCGGAAGCTTTCCTTTCATCTTTTAGCTTTCTTCTCAGCTTATTTTCTAACAGGTTGTATCGATCACGAACACCCCTTCTGTCTAAATCTGACTTGAATCTTACTTCATCAACTGCAACTATTCGTTCAGCGATGTCATTCCAAACCTGTCCTCTTTGAATTGAGCTCTTCTTGTACTGAAAGGGATTGTGTATCAAAATTTCTCGACAGAGAATTACATCGTGTCTGTCAATCCAAAACATCATCTTTTCACTGCAGATAAATATTGAAACAAGCAATACAACAAAAAATTATTAAAAAGGGTTGTGTTACCACAATCATGGAAAAAAATATTTTAGAACCTGAAGACTCCTAGCTGTCAAGAGGTAGATACACTAATTAATGAAATGAAGAATTAAGATAAGCTAAGTTTGTTTTTCTGTAGCTTCTCTATTGACATAATTGTTCTTTTGTTTCAGTTGCTTCATCTCTTCTTCTTTTTCTTTTATAAATATTTAGGAAATAACTACTATAATACGTATATATGTGTAACTATTTATATAATATATACAAGTGTGTGTGTGTATTTCTATAACAAATTTATTTATGTACATAGTGGTTTGCCAGGATTACCTTCTTGCTATTTGTCGGCTAGTCTAATTTTAAACATAAGCTTATATGAAGGTGCAAGAAAGTGTTGCTTAAAAGCATACACACACAAAGCTTTCATCGCTGAGGGAAATCGCTGCTATCAAAGGAAACTAAAATTTTCAAAATGGAGAAAAATATGAAATACGAACATTCTGCAAGACCTACACGCTAAAAGTCGCAAGTTTGTACTTAAGCTTATTTATTTAACAAATTTAAGGTAACACCAAGCATCGAATTGATTTATTAACACATGAGCAGATCATTGGGGTTTTAGCTAGCTATAGTTTAATCAGGGCAGCTCAGGGCAAACATATTTCCACAGAATATCAGCTAACTTCATTCAGTACGAATTTTAAGTTTGTACTTACGCTGGTTTATCGCCTTCTTGCTTTTTCGCGGGAAGGTTTGTCGACATCTGGAGCTTGTGAGCGGGATGTACTGACAAAAGAAAGTAAAAAAATTGATTTATTTTTATCACAGTTACCGTTAACTTGATTCTGACAACCATCGATACCAACTTTTAACATTACATTAAGTACTTGGGTCCAACAGTTACATTTCAGGACAAAAAAAGCCAAAATTTACTTACGTTCTGTGCACGACGTCAAAACTCCTCACTTCACGTCGAAGACGAGGGCAGGACGGGATGATGCAACCTATTCGCATGCGCACTGCTATCGAAATGCGACTTTTCACTTCCGGTAAGGCGTCGTCCTCCTCTCCCGTCCTGGTGCTTAAGGTCCCTACTTTCAAAATAGGAAACCCAGCAACGGTGAGTTGGAATTTTGTTTTCTGATCGATGCGGTGCACATATAACAGGGGATTTTGGCGAAGAAACTTGATATCGCATCGTCTTTCCGCGACGGCGTCCATCGCGAACTGAATCGATCACGCCAGAGACAAGTTTGATAATATGTTTTATCTGCAAAGCATGCCGGGGAAGGGTGTTACATCCTCCTTTACCTCGCATGGGACGTTAGTCCCGTTGCACCTACCCCTTTTGGGTTTTTGCTTCTTTTCTTATTTTTTTGTGTTGTATTATAAATTTATATTGTATTTTACAAGAGGAGTACCCAATAAAACGGTGGGAAAAAAATTATGGTAGTTCATTAAGGGGAAATGTTAAATAAGTTATCAACCCTCCTGGGTCTTTTCGGCAGAAGAAACAACTTACAGTAACGGTTGCTAAGTATCAGATATTGTGATGTACAATCTAAAAGGTACTTTACACGCAACTGTTTTTCCGATATTCCAAACAAAAATATAATTTACCATTTGAGTAGAATCCCTTTGAAACGGAAAGATTAACCTATAAACATAAACTGTGAAATGGACGCAGCTATTAGCTTCTCAAAGGGGTGTGGTGGGGGGAAGGGGGTCAGTGATACGTATGGGTAAGAATTGTTTTCGAAGGCTATTACTGTGATCGAATTTGATTTATAATTTCCTCGTTTTGTTTTAAAATCAGCAAAGTATTTATTTATGGATTTGCATAGGTTAAGGCTTATTCTTTTTAATGTTTTGGTTTGAAGTAATTATAAGTATATGAATGGACGCTTCGCCTTTAGTCTTGGCTAAATCTATATATTATTGCTTGGAATGGTAGCAATGAACGAGCCTCGAAGCAAGACTGTCGCTAAATTTTTACCGACAACCACTACAACCCGTTATTCTCTAAAACCTTCTTCTTTCGATTTACAACCAGAAAATTAATTTAAGCTTGTGTATATTAAATGTCGACAAAACTAAAACGAGACAAAAACTGTAATAATTACACGGGCTCACCTTAGACGCAGCTCCTGAAAGCGAACAAGGGAGGTAAGAAACGTTTCCTGTACTTTGCTCAATCTCGTCCCCAAGGCGCTTTTCCCTGGCTTTGGAGCTGCCACCTCCACAGCCAGGGAAAAGCGCCCTGGGGAGGAGGTTGTACTCTGCTGTAAAAGTAGTTTGTTCCTGGAGTGTGACCAAGCAAAGCTTTAGAAATTTATTTCCGAAAATTTTGTCGTAGGTTGAAGAAGCATTTTTAAAAAGCATTTCTTTACCTCTTAAACGGCCTTTAAAACAACCGCGCCAAGTTTGAGACGGTTTTGTTTGCACGCTGCCTTGTTGCTAGGCAACTGCGTTCACCCTAACCGATAAAGAGACAGATTTATAGCCAAAGCAAGATCACACTTCGCTTGTCGATCCTCGTTGGACGCGATGCCAACTCCGACAAAATTAGAAACTTCGAGAGGACGCGCGAGCGAAAGGCGAAGGTTTCTTTCCCCCGCCCTCGCTGTCGTGTCTCTTCTCGCGCGTGTACTTTTCACGATATCCCCTAAATGAAGAGCTTGCTCGCAGGCTTTCTTACATCTCTGACTTCAAACCAGGGGTCGGAGGGGGGGGGGCGTAGTAATGTTTGATCCCCTACTATTGAAAAACGGAAGCGCGAGTTTAACCTTATGGCCAGTCTTTCTGTTTCTATAGAATGTTCATCATGCATTTAGACCGTTCCACGTTTTTTTTGTTTTCATTTTTTTCAGTACTCCTAGAAAGAGTGCCTAAAAATTAGGAAACTTAACAAGGTTAAAGATGATACGATAAAAGCGGTCGAAGATAAAGCTCCACCAAGCCGTGAAATTTTACACTCGCTGGTCCCAGTCAAAAGTCGAAAAAACCGTGGAAGGGTCTATCAGTTCCCCTTTAATAGTAGCATGTTTGTTTTTAACTTCAATACAGTAAAAAAAGAGTATTCTTAGTTCAGTTTTTGTAACCTTGAGAGCACCTGTTTTGCGCCAAAACAACGTAAGTGCCTGTCTATTCGTTTGATTGATTAAACATTTACTATTTTTGTTCACAGTATTGCTCATTTTCCCAGTTTTGTTTATCACTTTGTATGTTGAATGTCAATTCCATCTAGCACATGTTGACAATCTCGCCAACTGCTTTAAACTTCGAGAACGGAAAATCGTTAGTTAAGTCGTGCGTTTATTCTTTATGGACCGTAAAAGGAAGTCGCCTTAACGGTCCGTTGCATCAATTTTTACCAGTTATTATCAGTTTCTTGGTTGAAACAATTTATCTACAGGCTTGTTTTATTTGAAAGTTTTGATACAACAGAGGAAATGTTAAAAACAATGCTTGTATGGCGGTATAATGTACGGAAGCGATCTTCTAAAGGTCTAATACAAAACTAACTTGAATTGAACAATTCTTGGTTTGGTTTTAATGTTAAGCAAAGCTACATCGTCCAAGATTCTCTTCTTGCTCTATTGCAGACGAAACACTGTAAATACTGCGCATGCGAACAAAGTGGAAGCGCTGACCACAAAACTGGAACCCGCGTTGCACAGATCTCCTTCACAGCAACTCATATGACACTTGTCTCCGTCTGTGCAGTCGCTGTAGAAGACGTTTTTCTTCATGTTTGTGCACTGGTCCATAGTAGCACACCCCTTACTATATGTCTTGTAAACCAAATTGGAATCCTTGTATGTCACTTCTGTCATAACTTTCATGCAACGCTCTTCGCCTGAGGTGCACCGTTTTGCTTTGGCCTTCTCATTGCACTCTGTCATTGAATGGCATTCGTAACATTGTCGCGGATTGTTCTCTGAAAAAAAATAACGGTACATGCCATTCCTTAAAACTTCACTACTGGCGCGTTTGATTATTCTTTTTCAGAGTATGAATTACATGACTAATTAACATGGGAGATTGGATCTTCTGATGTATTTGAAATACAAGATGCGTGGATGTTATGATGGATATCCCCAGTTTTAAAAGAGAATATTCCTTTTGGTATCGTCACTTGATCCGCACACTAGAGCAAGAAAACCTATGGGTATATTAGCTTCTCATTTTGTTTCCAAAGTCGTCAAATGATGTATAGCAGTTTGTTATTTCTCCATTACAGCGTCAAAGACATGGCGAAAATCAAAATCGAAACATCTGTTTTGCACAATGCAACAAGATAATATTTTAACATGTCCAAAACCTATTGTAGGAAAGGTTCTTGGCCACAAGTTCAGAATCATTAGATGTCTGTCATAGCCGGCGAAAACAGCAGTTTCCCTTCGTTCCTCGCCGCTGGGGATGTTTCGCGAGGAGGAACGTCTGCGACTCAGCGATAGAAATTCCATACTGATGACGTAAAATCTGTCCGAAATCTGGTCAGAAGCGCAGATTGGTCGACGGAGTAGTTACATTGTTTTAGCTATTGTTTAAGAATGACAGACAAAAGGTCAAATGTAAACGCAATGAATCTCAAACAAAATAGTCAATATTGGTGGAATATAGTATTCTCTAGAAAAGGCATTTGAGTTTTTCTGCAGCTCGTTCGGAGATGAACACAACACTTTAACAAAATCGACCAGGAGTAACGTAAAAGTGAACAACTTTGCATTTGGAACCCCATGACTACCGGATTTATTATGTTAACATTGATTTGCCATCATCAGTATGGGATTTCTGCCGCTGAGACGCAGACGTTCCTAGAAACGTCCCCAGTGGCCTGTCATTGTTCTAGAGGTTTTTGGAACGAGCTTTTTTGTTGGGAAATATCAACTTACCTTCAGCGTAAGGCTTCACGCAAAAATTAGAGTCACAGCAAGTGGCATTACAGGACACCCCTGGATTATTTTCCATTTTTGCTGTGCAGGAAGCCCGGGCAGCTTTGCAGTCCAACTTGCTTGCGCAAGCAAACTGAAAGTTGATGCCAGGGTCAGTATTCGTCACCACGGAGCCGCAGTAATCCTTTCCGTAGGAGCACATCACTCTTTCTGCGTTTTTTTCGTTACATGTCTCGATTTCCCCTGTGCACTTATAACATTGTAGAGTCGACCATCCTGCGTTTGGAAGAAAAATGGACGTTGAAGTCATCATGAGTTGTAATTTTTTGAGTCGTTAGCAGTCATGTGCATCCAAACAAGCCCCATTGACTACATTCGATTCCCTCATGGTACAGTACAGTCTCTCCCCCCCCCTGCATACGTTATTGTAGCATTTGAAAACAATAGGTAGAGCAAGATTTAAGGGGGGGCAGACTGTCACTATATATAGGTCAATTAAACTTTGAGCACTTCTCAAGGTTCTTTGAAGACTACGAGTAATTTCCTATTATCCTTCCTTGTGAGTGACAATTTTCACCTTGGCTGCTGTATTTTGCTTCTCTTTAATAGGGAACTTAAGCAAGAACGACGGCTACGAAAACGTCACTTAACAAGTGAATTCGCGCTGTCTCAAACTTTATCGCGCTTATTCCATCTCGTTGAATTCGTCAATTGCTGGCAATTTTTTTTAAAGTGGAATTCTAAATGACTGTATGAAAGTTCAGGAAAAGAAAAAGAAAGATGTTTTCTTGTTTTCCCGTCTTCGACAAAACGTGAAATTTTAGGTTGTGACCGTGCAACGACAGGTAACAAATGAACGAAAAAGCGTGAAGCAGGTGCAATATTGTTGTTATGTTAATCTAAACCTTTGCTTTTTTGCCGTTCTCGTTGCCTTCTCATCGTCGTTGCTTACAGTCAAACCAAGTCAAGCGTACCCCCCAAGATTCTATCAGTGAATTGATTATTTGAAAAATGAATCCGTTAGTCGTTCCCGTAACTGGTGTCAAATTCAAAGCGGCATTTCTGCATGCGTAATGAGCAGTGAATATTTTACGAGAACTTCTCTGTATTTGGTCAGACTGGAAATCTTCGAATGGATTAAGCTTCTTAGAAGACATTTACATCAATTTCAGGAAAATGGAGGTGGTAGAAATTTCATGATTGCCTCGCGTGTGAATTCACGGCTCATTACACATACAAGAATGCAGAGATCAATCTGAAATCTACAACGAGCAACGGATTCAACTTTTGAATAATAAATTCATTAATGGATTCTTGGGGGGTACGCTTGACCTGGTTTGACTGTAAGCTTCCTAATATCCCTGAAGAAACATCCACTCTGACAAAAATGCAGAGATCGAAATGTCAATTTTTGCCTTTGCCTCGATTTCCGTCGCTTTTGGAGTGATTTTACTTAACACGTGAGACAGTTAGTAGCCAGAATGCTACGCACTATTACGCACTTATTCCATTGTCTTCTTTTGTGTACCTCTTGCGTTTTTGCAATATTTGTTAGTATCTGTTTCAAGGTTCAAGTAAAATCACTGACTAATAAAAACAAAGTGTTCCCAAGTTGTCTCGTTGGTTCAGTCTGTATAACGTACCAAGTTGAGAGTGAAAGGGCTCAATACAGTATTGCTAAGGCATTTTAGTTCGTCCATTCCATTGCAAAATGCTGTTGTACGTGCAGAACTTGGTGTGAGTACTAACAATTCAAAGCCTTAGAGCTTCGGTGCCCTTTTTATTTTGACTTATTTATTTAAACCGAATGTAGAGCATTTTTAAATTGAAGGAAACCTTAAGGTAACAGTTCCTCACAGCGTAACCACAAAAGGAAGACCTCGTTTTGATCATTACGCAACTACGTAAACTACTTCCTTACTTTCCGCTAAACTTGTAATATACTAAAAACCTGGTCCTTGTAAGGCTAAAATTTGCCAGTTGGGCCCACCTTTATATAAGAACCCTTTTAGCCTAAAATTAAAGCAAGTTATTATTTTCTAGAATCTATAAAGAAATTTCTGTTCACGATGAATCGGGCAAATAATATTTTAAAGTCAACGTTCAAGATCCTCTTGGAGACATATGTGGCCTATCACTCCAACTAGAATGTTATGTTATGTAGATTTTATGTAAGGAATAAGCTGAATACCACTTAATCCTCTTGGCTACAATGTATTTTTCTTCAGAAAATAAGAATCTGTTTCAGAACCTAAATTTGTGCTTATTACCGTTTATCTAGGAATCTGTTTAGGCTAAATTGGCAAAATGCAGGTTCTTAGTCGCGGGTTTTTACTGTTCTGAGATCCGGCATTCTTTTATTTAGGTTTTTTTGCTTATTTCCCCTTTTTATTTTTGACTAAAATGAAAACGTATTTTCAAATCTACCCTTTGAAAGCCGATCGTTTTTAGACGAGTGCATGAGTAGAAAGTCATTCAACAGTCGAAAACTGCTCAATCACCTGAATAATTATTAGCTTTAGCGAACATTTCATTTCTTCTTCCCTATACTATTGTTTTTGGAATTTTTCCTGTAATGAGCTAGAAACCTATTTGTAGACCATGAACACGATAGAATATAAGCAAGTGCACTATTTCGCATTAGCCGTTTTAAACCAAGCACTGAAGTTCTATAAAGGCTGATGCGGCTTTTTTAAACCACGGAACTGTTTCGGGTTTTGAGGTACTTACCTTGTTGTACTAAACAAAGCAGCGTGAACGCGAAGAAGACCATTTGCTTCATCATTTTCAAAATAAAGTGTTGGTTGTAATGTTCGTGACCCGACGTTCCAAACTCACGTTTAGACAAGAGTTCGGCAACCCTCCTTTTCAATTAGCGGTATGTGAGTGCTTCTCGCTCTGTTAGTTATGACAAGGCAAAAAACACTTAATTGATAATTATGTAGTTTTTTAACCCGTGATGTATTCCTCTTCCTCAAACACTTAAAGAATCAAGAAAAAGGCTAAAATGAATGCCACCTTGTAAGACTGTTCAATAAGCTTTAATTTGTATGGTCACAATATACGTTTTTACACCCTTTTCAACCACAAGTGGTAAATAACTGCCCGTTACAGCCACAAAAGAAATAGAAGTACTTGCACACTTTTCATGCTTGTTTTTCGTTTTTCCGATAAAGCTGAAAACCATAACGGCAGAAAGATTCCATTTAAATTTGGAGTGATTATTTAGCAGCATACGAGTACAGTTAACGGCCATTTCAGCTTTAAGACAATATACGTCTCGGATAAAAACTTTCTGCCTCTAAACCGGAAAAGTGCAACGGGCTTTCTGTCTCAGGCTTAAACTGGCGCTGCGCTCGTGTTTGCATACCTAAACGAATCCAAAACTATTAGAGTCGAGTATCTGATTTGTTACCTTTTCAACGCGGACTGTTTTGTTCGTCCACGTAGCTGGAACGTGAAATGGTTGTTTTATATACAGTTGATTCCGATAACTCAAACCTTCTAGGGTTATCATAAAAGAGTTCGAAGTAAGTAACCGGACCAAGGAAATGAGCAAACGGGATGGGAAAGGAATGCAAATATCACACGGCACAATTCACGACATTAAAGCACTGACGCAGCGGTGGATCCAGGACTTTTCTTAGAAGGTGGTGCACCACAATGGAATGGCGTAACTGACTGGTGACGTAAACAAATTTTAAAAGCGGATACGAAGAAGGCTTTTGACCAGGCAATAACATAATGTGAACTGTTGAAATGGTGTTTATGTATTCACATAACGTGAAGAATGATCTTGTTACACTCATCCTGAAAAGGAGTATTTTTGTGTGGTGAAAAAAGGCATAGTTTTCATATTTTCTCAACGTCTTCTGGAGTTCTCGGCGGTTAATCACAGAAATTCTGGCGAATTATTGTTTTCATATTCATTCTCCGTTTCTTATTTTCCTGGCTTTAATCTTCCGGTTCATAACGTGCTGCGTAACTACCTTTCAAGAAAATACGTTTTACGCCAACCGTCCCATAATGGAAAAAAAGCATGGAAGAATGACGTCAATAGAAGATATCACGGTAATACTTTAAAAAATAGTTTTGGTGTGTGTGCTAGAGCTAAAAAAGTTGTTTTACTTGGTTATTTACGTAAAACCTATCGCGTGTGACCTTTTTTCATTGAGAACATAACACCGCCAGCACTAATAGAACGAGGGACAACACAAACTATGAGATTACCAAGAATTTATTGATCACAATTGGAACAAAAATTCTGAATTTTAACAAAATGAATAAACCAGCAAAGATTTTCTACTTTTACTTCAAGAAAAAGAGATGGTTTTCCTCAAACATTACTTCGTAGATCTTAGTAGACGCACTTCCAGAAGTAAAAACCAACGAGTTAATCTATGAAATAATTTCCTATAGCCTTATGGGTGGAGAGGAGGGGATCCGGGCCCTCCCCCTGGGTCTACTGGGCGAGCCTACCCCCCTGGATTTACTTTGCTTCTTGAAAGGCATCCCGACATATTCAGAATGACTAGCTTTATTTGACATCTAAGACTTAAAAGCTAAAATAGCTGTAAAATCTACGCTAATGTAGTTAATTTTGCTTTACTTTTTGTACTCGTTTTTGCGGATAGCTTAACAAAAATTACGAAGAAAATAAGCATCTAGAAAACGTTTACCAGCCATTAAGTGGTGCTTTTTTCTGTAGCTAAACCTACATTTCTTTCAGTAATTTCTTCAGCAAAAACATGTTTCTTAACTACTATACAAATGTGCTGAGTTGGATTATTCTTTCGTACGATTGCCTGTAAATATCCTGCAGCTATCACATAACCGTTGGTGCTACCATACAGAATTGTCCTAGTTGTAAAGAAAAGACAGCAAGGTGCATGTGAAGAGGGAGACAACGCTGACAAAAGCAAATGAGCCAGCATTACACAAATCTCCTTCACAGCACTTAAAATCGCAGGTGTCGTCAGACCCACAGGCCTGGCCGTACAAATCATTTTCCTTTTTACAGGTCATTTCGGTTTGGCATCCCTTTCGGTACAGCATGACCTTCTTTCCTTGTATCATCAGTTCGGTGGTAAACTTGCCACACTTGTTTTGTTCATCTGCGCAGCTTCCAGGATAACTGTTTTGCTCGCAGTCGTCCATGGAAGTTGTGCTTTGACACATAAAGCACTTCAACTTGTCATCTGAAAGTTATTATAAATGAAGTATACTATCAGTTTTTACTCTGAAGATGACATACCGCACACGGTTTGTCGATAAGTCAATCTCTGTCAACAATAGTCCTATTAAGGACCACACTAACCAGCACAATCATATCCCAACCACCTTTAAAAATATAATCAGCTGTCAACAAAGTACAAGACATTGTGGAGTTTTAGTGTTTAATTTCCGGAAAAAGTGCAGCCTCCAGAGACTACGGTCCTCAAAGAGACGCAAAGCGAGGCTCCCTTGTGGCTGTAACACACTATGGCACTCTTATAAATTTTGAAATTTGCTGTGATAGTCACCTGATACAAAATCAGCAAGAAACGAAGTTAGTGAAAGAAAGCAAAGTGCTTGTTGGACGAGTCTGGATGAGGTTGTTTCGCTGAGGTTCAAATGAGTTAAAACTTTCGAGCCCATTCAAACGGATACAAAAGACTCACAATGTTGAAAATTCTCCAGGTTGCTGTTCTCGTGCCATGTGACTTACCAACATGTAAAGGGTAAGGGCTAACGAAATTGTACCCTACTACCCATCCCACCGGTCATCCTGGAGAAGATCCTATAGTGTGCCGGATTAACAAAAATAAAATTCAGTTTGAATGTTATAACAAAGAGAGTCACCATACCTTCTGCTGGAGGTGTATTGCAAGACGTTGTGTTGCAGCATTGGGACATACACTTTGCCCTGGCGTTGTTTTTCTCAACCGCTTCACAAGATTTCATAGCCGTCATGCAGTCCCGTTCAGATGCGCACCCATATAAACCAGATTCTTTGCCGTCTTTACTCATCATCACTTTCAAGCATCTGTTCTGGCCTATTGCGCAAGACACGTTTTTAGCGCTCATGCTGTTACATTCCTCCATGTTACCACTGCACTGGAGACATTTAAAGGCAAAACCTGTAGGAGAATGTTCTACGTTGGTTAGCCGGTACTAATCAATATATGTTTTCTGTTATATTACCTCAAGCCTCGTTGTCAAGAATGATATTTAGTATGTTAAAATTAGTCTTGTTGGTTCTAATCTTCCCAATCAATCGTTCGAGGTTTAAATCCCGCGAAAACTAGAGACGCGAAATTCATAGTTCTGCGGGAAAGAATTATTCTTAATTCAGAAATGGCGGACGAGCATTCGCTGAAGCGTGAACCTGTCCCTTTAATTATATCGGACTGTCGTTGTAGAATCAAGGAGAATGTGTTCATTCTAAAACTACAGCCTTCTTCAAATGTGGATGTCCCCAGTGAAGGAGAAATGGTTTTTATGTGAAACTACCTACTATTGAATTGCTTATAAGTTCTTTGCTTTTCGTAACACTGATTTCAGACCGCCTTGTAGTCTAATTTTAGTCTAATAATCGTTATATAAGCATTTTCTAAAAAATTGTGAGAGTTGCTTCTGATTGTATTTTGCTTGGCAAACAAAACGTCGGGTGGATTGAAAAAAAGTGCGCTGGTTTACCTTATTTATCGTAGCTTTTATTGATCTATTTTTATCCCCTTTGGAGTGCTCAGATATGTAGGCTGATACTATGATACTAGTTCAAGTTCAAGTTCAAGTTCAGTTGTTCACACTTATTCAATCACAATACAACAATAAGGAAAAAAAAGGAAATAGTAAAAAACAGAGCTAACTATACATTGAATTAAACATAAAAAAGGAAAAGAGTGTGTAGCAGCCAAAGGAGCCAAGCTTTCGAGTTGGATACTACCACAGAGCAGTTACAAGTGGGTGGAGGTTATACAGTACTAGTAAAAAAAACTATTTAAATTAAATAATTATATAAATAGAACTAAGTAACAGATTAGAGTTGTTCAAGATGCCTGACTGTCAAGTAGAAAGAGTTTATATTCTTTTTTAAAACTGTTCAAGGGGAGACACTTAATTTTCGTTGGTGTAGCTTCCCAGGTCTGTGATGCCACTACACTAAACCTTGCTGGGCCATAATTAGTTCTGGAAAACGGTCTGCACAGGTTTTGATTAGTGGCATACCTAGTATTATAATTATGGACAGCTGAAGCCGGTTGAACTAAGTCATAGAGGGCAGGAGGTGTATCCTTTTTTTGATATTGAATTTTATGCCCAAGAGCGCCAATTTTTAATTTAAAGATATTCTCTAACGTTAAGATTTCTAATAGTGTAAAGTACGGTGTGGGACTTTCTCTTTTATTTGCAAAGAAGATGCAGCGAATACAGTTATTTTGACTTACTTTGATTTTATTTAACTTAGTTTGGTATGCGGTACCCCAGCTCATTAATCCATACGTTAGATAAGGATATATGAGAGTATAATACAGTTGTTTGAGTGTACTTATAGGCACATAATGTCTAAGCTTAAATAAAATTCCAATGTTTTTTGTTATTTTGTTGTTAATCATATAATTTTTCTAAGAGAATATGGTGATACTAGACAAAAATGTTTCCAAATCTCCGGTCTATTTCAAGCATGTCACCAAAAGGTACAGTGGCCAGCTTTTCTCTTTCGATTTTGTTCGCGCTATGGGTCATTAAATTTCACAGAAGCGGGAGCTAATTCCGGCACCAATATTGTCTCTTGAACTTTCCCAATGACAAAAAAAAATCTTTTGACTAAAGATATTATTGAAAGGGTATATTGCTGTACTCTACGAAAAAACCCTTTATTTCTGAGAAACCGAGGAAAAAGGCCACTGTTCCTTTGGTTAAAATAGTGCTTGTTGAGGTTTAATTAATCTCTGTCAGCAGTTGTTAAAGGAAGGTAGGCGGGAAAACTACAAAGCGAAATGAGGTCTAGTGTATACTGTCTATACATTCCGCGGTTTCAGACCTAAATCGTGCGTGAAGTTACATAACAGTGGTGAAGGAAAAGTGACATAGCTATGCAGACGATGTACACTGAGTTAGAATAACGTTCATTGCGTGATGAATAATGGTCTTTGCTTTGTATAAAGAGACCGTTAATCGGCAAGTCAGTTCTAAGAATGCTGTTTTAAAAAATGGCGATGTTCTAGTGAATTTGGAAAACATTTTATTATGTTAAGCAAGAGTTGTTTTGAAGTGTTTGTAAAATCGTTGTTGCTTCTACGCACGAAAAGAAAACCATCAGACTGGAAAAAATAAGAAATGACCATATTCATAACTTGGAAACTCTAATTTAGCATAGTTTTCGGCGAGAAAAACTGAGAAACTTTGACTATTTACTCTTTATTGAGTCTTTGCTTTGAATGACGACTTACTACCTGTTGTTCAATCGTTAGTGGCGTTAAGACATTTGTTCATTTTTTTCTCGCTAGCATCAGTGGAAAGACCTAAAACTACACTGATTCTCATGGCCTATGAATGAAAACTGAGTAAAAACTTATCGAGTCCAAAAGAACTCTGTCATTGAACTAGTTAATCTTTTATTTTTTAGTCGCTTAGGCAAGTTGTTTTTATGAGCACTTTTTGTTACTGACGCGTTTAAAAAAGACTACGTTGCCGATATTAAAAGTCTATTCATTGTTTACTTGATACAGACTTACCCTTTTCTGCGCAGAAAAGCAATGTAGTGATCAGGAGAATAATTTGCTGCATTGCCATCTTGAATCATATACTCGATCAAAAGTTCAGTAGATTTTAAAGGGTGTCGAGGCTCGAGTTCGCAAACGTTTTGCGGAAAAGGTAATCTCGCTTTCGATTATTAACCTATGACGTAAAGTGAATTCACTAAACAGGATGGTTATTGAGGTTATTCAAGGACCCTTAATTGTTCTCGCTTATGGCCGTGATCGTAAAATTAATTTCTACAAAGCTGTGTCGTCATTGTCAGCACGTTTTCATAAAAGGCGTTTAACTGAATGATCCGTGATAGAAAACACTGTTATTTTGCACATAACACGACGCAACGGTTGGTAACACCGATTTGACGATTTCAAACTAAAAAGATTGTTTTTGAACTTTAGAACACCGTACAAGGGTGAGACGCTTCAATGCTTCTTATAACGTACCCATAGTTTACCTAAATTTCTAGTCACAGCTTAACTATACATGTCGCAGCCTAGGTGCATGTATCTGTACCGTGATTAGACATATTTGGAAAACATCTCTATCTTCACTAGTTTTCAATAAGACTTGGCTCTAACTGGAATTCGTTGAAAATCTTTAATAGGTTTATCCTTCTTCTCTGAATGACCGTTGCTGATGAGACAAAACCATTTTCTAGAACAGGAAAGATAAACAATATAACTTGTTGACTATGCTAGCCACGAAAAGAAGTTGCCTCAAGCTATAATTCGAGCCACCGTGGTGACAAACCCAATTTCTTAGTGTTTTGAAAATAATGCCACAGTTTTTATGTAATCATCGACTGTCACTTGAAGTGTAGTATATAGGCTTAGCCGACCTAGCAAAGTGGACGGATAAAGAGATGGAAGATGCACTTTTACTCAGTAGTTTTACTATGGCCAAAAGCTAAGATTGAAATATTGCCTTTGATCGTGACGTCCGGCTTAAGAGCGAATGCACAGAAAAATCGAGCAAAATCGGCAAATCGTGGCCACAGCTCAAAACCTAACTTACCCTGATTTTCAGTCTGTAATAAGGTTTTAATGAGTTTATAACACTGCTGAGGTTTAAATTTCAAAATGCGACCGAGTTTGGGAATTATTTGAGATTTTCGATTTCAACGGTCAGCGGGCCTAAAATTAGCCGCCGAACTCGGGAAAATAGCCCAGTGACAGAATTAAGCTGACTTTCATAAACGAGCGAATATATTGGCAACTTTCCACTTAAATCTCAAAAAGCAGATATCTAACAATTTCTGAACGGCACATTTTTTAGATTTAGAGTATAAAATATCGACGAACGAGCAGAATTTTGAAACGTAATTGGCATAATGCTTATAAATACAACAATTTACCGCTAAAACCAAAATCGAATTTTCTATATGCGGGAATTCTCCAAATCACCCCAAATCACGCTTACTACCCAATGAGATATAGTACTTCAACATTATCTGAAAGTTAGTCTGGTGTTCTTGCGAACGCTTGTAAAATAGATTGATTATTTTGAGGTTATTTTGCCCCAAACAACCGCTAATTGACCCCAGGGTCAGTTGACACGTGCACGTCACCTTAGTTTTATGCATCGATTTGAGCTCGTTAAAAGGGAGAAACTAACAAGATTCTTTTAATATGTACCTGTTTTAATGAAATACACGCAATCTTCAAAGGGAGAGGCCGTTCAATGGGTAATTTCTGTTCTTGAGATCTTGTAGATTGCAGCATGGCGTCTGCGAGTGGACCTGAGTCTAGGTCTGTTTTCCCGTGACTGCGAAATCAGAATAACATCAAGAAATAATTCTCCCTCGAATCTTCGTAAGTGAATCAGCTTTGCAGTGCCTTACCTGAGATAAAAAGTGGGCCGAATAGGAAAACATTCCAGCGCATTCCGGCGGCGGCTAATTTTAGGCCCGCTGACCGTTGAAATCGAAAATCTCAAATAATTCCCAAACTCGGCCGCATTTTGAAATTTAAACCTCAGCAGTGTTATAAATTCATTAAAACCTTAGCACAGACTTAAAATGAGGGTAGGTTAGGTTTTGAGCTGTGGCCACGGTTTGCTCGATTTTTCTGTGCATTCGCTCTTAAAATGCTTAGAGTAAAACAATGCGGAAAGGTATGACCTCAGCAGAAACTTCAGCAAAAAATAGAAAGAAGCACATCTAGGAATTCGATAGGAATTTCTATATTATTATCTCTTGCCAGGAGAAAAGTCTAGGTTTAGCATGTTTCCCATCTTCCGTAACGGATCCTTTCTTGTGCTGGTTTCGCAATGGAAATTAAGGATGGGCACTTATGATTGAGAACAGATCCAGCCGTCTCAACTGAAAGAAACCATTTTTAGTACCGGTTTCAAGTTTGTCTTCTTTTTGTCACTTTACAGTTTCAGCTCATCAGGTAGCTTACGCGCCGTTGGGCTAAATGCATTAACTGTTATCGAGCTGCAAAAACAGGAGAAGAGAA